GTTGTTGCAGAACTTTTTAGATTGCTAATTTCACTTATGGTGAATACTTGTAGCTATATTTTAAGTGATACGATAGCGTAAAAATCTTTACACGCTTTTAAAAATTAAAATTCTCCTACTGCAATGGTGCCCTTTGAATCTTTGTTTGATGTCAATTTCAGTTTTTTCCTTAGCCACAGAATAAATCAAGAGAAATGTAGTGGTCCTTGTGCCTTTTTTAATACCAGTTCACTATCCTCGGAGACCTAATAAATTAGCAACTGTTAGTGGTTCGGATTTGATTTATTATTCCAAATGTCTTTTTTTTTCCTTCCTTTATTAAACGAATAATATTACTGAATTGTTTAATTGTGGCAGACACGTATTTTAGTGGCCTATAAATGTCAAAGCAAACACGTAATAACGTACGACTAAGTTTACTTCTTTCATTTGATTAGTAAAAGTTGTTGGTGACACTTACGTTTTATCCAATGCTAAGATTGTTAGATAAATTTTTACTTTTAGTCCCTAAAATGATTGATAAGTTCTGATTTTAACCCTCGTAATATTTGGCTAAGTACATTTAGTCTTCAATTTAATTCGAATTAGACTTTTGATCACGCCTCTGCTTGTGAATCTTCACATAGTTAATCAATCATGAATTATGTTAAATTTGTGTTGTTACTCCCTAAGGATACTAGAGTTCTAATTCAGGGTGACAAAATGGATAAATATAATAATTATTCATTCATATTATTCACTAAAAAATAAATAACCAATGAATTTAACTTTTACATTTACAAATGCTCAATTAAGGTTTTTGGAAGTTTGGGATTTTCTTAAAAGTAATCATATTCAAGAAGCTGTGGATAATATGAATATACATATTATCTGCCGATTAACTCATTTTCTATCCGTATTAAATATCAACCGGATTGAATATTTCATTCGTTTTCAACCCGCCCATATCCAACAAGACACCCAATTTGTTACCCCTATAATCATAAGGGACTAAAACACACTTTTTTATTTAGTTATCACAATTATCAAAATCGAAAGTGCAATATCCCTTTTTTGTTTTTTATCCCTTTGTAACTTTATATTTGTGGTGAATGATGTAGACATGAAGTGGTGGGAAAAGTAGTGGAGGTAGGAGCAGATGTGTCAAAATTCAAAGTGGGGGACACAGTTGGAGTTGGATTACTCGTTGGAAGTTGTAGGAACTGTGGCCCTTGCAAGAGAGAAATAGAGCAATATTGCAACAAGAAGATTTGGAATTGCAATGATGTCTACACTGATGGCAAACCCACCCAAGGTGGTTTTGCTAATTCTATGGTTGTTGATCAAAAGTAAGTCTCTACCCCTCCATATATAGACAAGTACCTTTCTTTCACTTACGGACTTTATTTTTTTCAACTATATTATATGCTGACAGATCGAAGTATTAAGTTATATCTAATAAGGGAAGTTTCGGCGTAATTGGTAAAGTTGTTGTCATATGACTAGGAGATTACGGGTTCGAGCCGTAAAAATAACCTCCTATAGAAATGTAGGATAGACTGCATACAATAAATCTTTGTGGTTCAACCTTTACCTGGACCTCGTGCACTGGGCTGGGTTGCCCTATTATGTTATATCTAAACATAGTTGTTTATAAAATAAGATTTTAACTAATATGCAGTGACAATGTAAATTTTTTAATACCATTAGGTTAAGATGATCTATAACCACGTATAATTGTTTATATTAATCCTAATTTGGTAACATGACAATGCAGTAAATAACCTGCTCTAATCAGAATAATTTTACGTGTCAACTTACAAAGTTATAACTAGAAAAAAGAAAGGTAGTCAACATAGTACAATACATAAAATTGCGTATAACTGCCATGTCGTAATAGGTTTTTTTTTTAGGTAATATGTCGTAATAGGTTGCTTGCCTTATTTTTGAGGTAATTAGTTTCACTTATTGTGGACTGAGCAACAACTATATTTTAGATGATAAGATAGTACAAAATAATTTTTACACTGTCAGTGTATTTGTTAACTCTTTTTTAAATCCATTGGGTATTGACTCAGGATAATGTTACTAGGACGATGAAGAAATCATATCATTAAAAAGGGCGGTCCAATGCACTAAGCTCCCGTTATACGCGGGGTTCGGGGAAAGGCTAGTCCACAAGGGTCTATTATACATAGCCTTACCCTGCATTTCTTCACTGCTCAAACCCGTGACTTCTTGGTCACATGGCATCAACTTTACCCGTTATGCCAAGGCTATCTTCAAGAAACCATATAATTAAAGTGGTTAATTCACATTTTTTGAATTAAAAGATCAACAATGGACTGAATGTTTATTTTTGCCTTGTTTATAGCTTTGTGGTGAAAATTCCAGAGGGTATGGCACCAGAACAAGCAGCACCTCTATTATGTGCTGGCATAACAGTATACAGTCCATTGAACCATTTTGGTTTTAATCAGAGTGGATTTAGAGGAGGAATTTTGGGATTAGGAGGAGTTGGACATATGGGAGTGAAAATAGCAAAGGCAATGGGACATCATGTTACTGTCATTAGTTCTTCAAATAAGAAGAGACAAGAGGCATTGGAACATCTTGGTGCAGATGATTATCTTGTTAGTTCAGACACTGATAAAATGCAAGAAGCTGCTGATTCACTTGACTATATTATTGATACTGTCCCTGTTGGCCATCCTCTTGAACTTTATCTTTCTTTGCTTAAAATTGATGGCAAACTTATCTTGATCGGAGTTATCAACACCCCCTTGCAATTTATCTCTCCCATGGTTATGCTCGGTAAGTCATTTAATTTATTTACGCTGACAGTATAACATGTTCAGACAAAATGCATTATTACGACAAATTAAAATTGGTTTCTAACAACATATTGTGTTAGTACTTGCTCTGATAAAAAGGGCAGCACGGTGTACTAAGCTCCCGCTATATGGGGTCTGGGAAAGGGCCGAACTACTAGGGTTTCTAGTACTTGCTTTGAAAAGTCGATTGAAAGTTTAAACGTAGAATTTGTCTATATATGAAAAAAGATAGAACAAAGGGATTGGAAGAGTGGTCATTTTAGTCAATGAAAGACATGATTTATTGAAATATGTAGGTGCCATTGTCTATTTTTGCGGCATAATAATGTTATGAGCAGAATTAATATATAGACAAATTCTAGGCTTGTAGGGTTGTGTTATTTAAGGAACCATGTCTGCAATAATGGACTGCTATAACAACAGTGACCATACACGTATTAAAGTTAATTGATTTGATAACATTTGTTTAATGCAACCTTTTATTAGTAGTATTAATTTAGAGAGTTTAAGCACAGTCAGTGTGTAAGTTTTTTGTACACCATCAAGCTAAGTTGGTATATTCGAAAAAAAAAAAAAACTAAGTTGATGTACACATAACACAATAGGTAACTTTTTATTAGTCGGATATGTTAATCTGAAAAATAGTATTATTTGGTATACACTTTTTCGGTTACGGAATGTAAATAGTTTCTGGTGCGGGCTAAAAGTAAAAAAAAATCATATTTTTTTATACTTTTATTTACATGACTTTAAACTTTATTGTTATGACCAGGGAGAAAGAGCATCACTGGAAGCTTTATTGGTAGCATGAAGGAAACAGAGGAAATGCTAGACTTCTGCAAAGAGAAAGGTGTGACTTCACAGATTGAGATAGTGAAAATGGATTATATCAACACTGCAATGGAGAGGTTGGAGAAAAATGATGTGAGGTACAGATTTGTTGTTGATGTTGCTGGAAGCAAGCTTGACCAGTAATTGCACAAGAAAAACAACATGGAATGGTTCACTATTATACAACAAGGCTATGAGAAAAATAGTACTCCTCAACTTTGATGTCATCTTTGTTACCTTTGTTTTATTTTCCACCTGTATTATCATATTTGGTGGTCGAGAGTGACGTTTATGTATATTTTCTTTCTTCAAAACAATCTTAAATGAATTTGGATGTTGGTGACGATTTTGAAATATACCAACCATGCAAACTTACTTTGGTACGTGAAAGCTATCTCCTCTTCTCGTGACCAGAGGAATTTTTATATTTTATAAGTGGCCGATCACAATTAAGATGATGTGGATTCTCAGAGTAGGTTTTGAAATGTTTTTGTGTCTCTATCCATACATTTTTGCGAATACATACAGTGTTCCATCCAAATACTTAGTTCAATTGAATCCATGGAACCTATTATTGGATCCGCCATTGATTTTAATTATTCTTGCGACCCCTTTAAATAAGAGATGTGACAGCATAACTAGTAACCAAACAAATCTAAGAAGATGCTGTACGCTTAATAGTGAGATTTGATTGTCCTCCAGTTCCACCATTTGTTGGTATTTGGTAATAATAAAATATACCCGCTGATTGCGTTCTAAATACGGTGGTAGGTGTGAGTTTTAGATTATATAAGAGTCGGGTCCATTTCGTCGTTTGCTTTTGAGTTTTTTATTTCTAAAATGCTTATAATTGGGAGGGAAGTCATCAAAATCCTTTCATGTAACTATGTTGTGGAATACTTATCCTAAAGAGTTTTAAGTTTGGATCAAGATGTAAAAACAATTCAGTCTTTCTAGAACGGATTCAAATCAATCAGTCTTTCTAGAACAGACTGTTATCCTTATGTAACATGTTAAATGCAGAATTACTCATTGTGTTTGGTCAGAATTATGGCTGAAATAATTCTGACTTTTTTTTCCCTCAAAATTTTAATGAATAGAAGGGCTACTAACCTAAAACGTGAAGGGAACATTGAGAAACAACAGAAATATTCTGGTATAAACTATAAACCATGTCACTCTTTCCTCTCTAAAATAATTGAAGAGAATTATCTCAGTTCACCAATGCTCGCATTAGAAAGGTAAGAATGATGGGTTAGCTGTACAGAGAGAATTAGCTGAGGTGCGAACAAATCTTGATCCAAACACAGAAAGACAATTGTTTCGTCCAACATGAAGCTAATGAGTCACGGACACCAACAAATGGTAAATGTTATAACCGCAGAACAAGAAATCAAGAATAATGCTACAGTCACCACTATGATTCAAAAAATCAGAAATAAAATCTTTACATTGAATGAACTCATCGGGTGAAGTTTTAGGGCTGAAGCACAAATAAGGCTCTTGTCAGATATATTTCTCATTCATAACATCAAAATTACCTAACCAGAGATACTAAACAAGTGTTCCCAAATCACATTAACAATTAAAGCCTCTGCAAATGATCTCAACAATGTCCTATTCACGACATGTATGTCTGAAGGCATCTTTCATCCTAACATGTCCTCATCCAGTGTTAGCTTGATTTCATAACGCTCTGCTGAAGTAGATGTTCATGAAGTGTCTTGATGGATTGAAGCCAATTAAGATAACTATAAGCAAGAAACAAAATTTGTCACCTTATTAACCAATATGACGCAACACAATCATGAATTAATAAAACTACTTACAGATGGGTGAAAGGACGATGACAATGCCAATTGGATATAGGAAGAATGTTGTCCTCTCCAAAAAGGGTAATACTGCATAGAGCGAAAATAACTTCATCATCCACATCGACTAGTTAACATAAATGGAATGCACCAGCGGACGGTCATGCATTAAGTCAGAATACTACGTTTCACAATAGTGTTTTAAGGCCATGCTTATTTATTTGTGTCAGAGTACCTAGGAATGAAACACACCGACTCCAACTAACATTTGACTTCTATTTATAGCTATACCTTTGGAAGGAAAACTCATACAGCACCGGCCACCGGTCACAATAATGACTTACGGGTTGTTTGGTAGGATGCATTAGATAAAATAATGCATGCATTAGCTTTGTGTATTAATAATACATTGTTTGGTACACATTTTGAACCTATGCATTACTTATGCAAGTATTAGCTATACATCCTATTTGGTATTATCCTATGCATAACTAATGCATAGAAAACAATGGTATTAGCAATGCAATGAGTTTTAATGCATGCATTAGCTTAGTTAAAGACAAAATTGTCCCTTCAAAATTTATGTTTGATTAAAATATACTAGTTAGTATATTAATGCAAGTTCAAAATAATCCAAATAGTGAGAAATAAAATTATATCCCTAGTAAATAAATAAATAATTAGCATATTTTTTTATAAATAAATATTTAATTTTATTTTACAATATAGGTAGATAAATCAAATAATTTTTTGTAAATTTTTCATATAAAAATATTTCTCAACATATATTTCTTTTAAAAAGTTAGAGTGTGAACTAGTTTTGAAGGCATTTTTGTAAACAAACAATTCTTTTAGAAATTGTGCAATGCTTTAATACATCAAACCAAACAATGGATAAGAAATATGTCAGCATAACTAATACCAGCATAACTAATGCAAGCATAATTAATATCAGCATTACTAATACACCCTATTCAGCATTATTCTTATGCACCCTACCAAACGACTCCTTGGTGAATTTGGATATCTAAAACCAAGAAATGATTGAATTTGAACAGACCAATCATGATACAAGAAAATACATCAGTATATTTGTATACACAGGTAGTCAACAAATTTAGCCACTGGAAATCTCTGAATAGAAAATGGAGAGAAACCAGGAAGATTATGTTATCATTTCAGTACAAGTAAATCTTAAATGCTTTAGGTGAACACCAGTGGAGATGCTCCATACACAACAATCACCTCATGTTGAATTTTCACGAAATTCAAGAGGAAAAATATTCTTATGCCATGTAACCTATCTTACCGTCATAACCTAAAAAGTTGAGGTAATGATAGTAGGAAGCAGCAACCATGAAGAGCAAATTTGACAGCAAAACAGGAATGAAACCATGAGCTACCAAAACAGGGGAGAGAAAATAATGTATAACTGCGACAAAGAGAAAGCCATCAGTCTTCATCAAAAAAAGAAAGAAAGAAGGAAACCATCAGTAGCAGTCAAATATTCTGTCTCTGGAGATGCGCAAACAGCACGTTTCTCTTAACACTGGCCTTACCGTATAGCAAAACAAACATAGGGAAGAAAGAGTTGCAGTGGACATCAAACGCGTACAACCTTCATGAGAGACAAGAAAGTGTGTAAGAAAGAGAGTTTTTCAAATGAAAGTGAAATTTCTTTAACCCTAGATGTAGAGTTTCAGAATTCAGCACGAGGAGAAAGAGGTAGATAGAATCAACTATTAAGTATACGAAGAGTCTGATATGGAAAGGTTCTGAACTTGCCATTCTACCCGTTGTTCCACGGCATGACTGCTTGGAGCTTCCTCTCGAAGGTAATTGTTGGTTAGGAACCTGCAAGGAAAATGCTAGCTAAGATTATGCTGGAGTACAATTTTTTTATCACCATAAATATTGCAAGCATAATGTCATGATACAACCAAAGATTTATGCTTTCACCATAAACAAGGAAAGCTTGAAAGAGAAACAGAGGAAAGTCTAGATAGCTGTTTCTCTTGCTTGGTTTATGTTGAGAATGAGGAAAGATCATAAGGGAAATCATTTTCTTGATGGCCACAAATTTTTAATCCAATGAAAAAAAGAAAGTCGAACAATGTTCCATTTCTTTTTTATTTCACCCTAACTAAACAAAGTAAAAGATGATTTCCTTCACTTACTCATGTGTTTACTCTTTTTCTATCTTCTTCTCCTTTTTCTTTCTTTCCTTATTTCCACGCATAGGTTATAGTCTACAGAATGTTATGATACGGTGTAGATCTGGAGTCAAAGAATGTTAAGAGAGAATGTCCATAAAACTACTCAGGCATCACTTAATACAGGAAACAGAGTGTAGCATAACCCTGCAACGGATTGTTCCAGGTGCTAAAAGTCATTGATTTTAGATCACCAATTAAATCCAACGCAGATGATCTAGGTTGTACCTTCCCTATAATTACGGTTAGCACTCTTTTGCTATGAAATTCATGTTTGGTAAAGCACAGTTAAAGAGAGCACAAGTGGATGTAGTTATAATGATGATCAGTTGACTACCAATGTATTCTCTTGATGAAGTTGATCACCTATTTATTTTATATGCTGAATTGTGAGAATTCCCCTGTTTGGAATGCAAGAAGTTTCTGATTCCTTACTATAATTCCCCTCAGAAATTTGGTTGCAAGTTTAACCAACTAACTGAGACACAGATGGAAAGTTTATTCATCCATCGTTCCACCAAACATGATAGAAAATTGTAAAAATCATGGCAAGACTAATATAAGTTAAAAAGAAAGGGAGCCATGATGAGATTGTATCAAATATTCAAGACTATACTAGCCCTTACCAGCAACATGTTGCCAAAGTAGCTCCAGTGAGTACAAAATGAAAAAGCAATACCGAGATAACTACAAAAACAGCATGTCCTGCACTATGATCATACCTGAAACAGATAAAAAGATGACAAATATGCGGATTGCAACAGGATTCAACATCAAGAAGAATATAAGCAAAAAAGAATACAAATAAGTCAATATCCAACTGGAGCGTATTTACATATTAAAATTAGTGAGCTCAACATTGGCGCACATGGATGATATAGTACAATGTACTTCTCCAAACCATAATAAAGACTCTTAATTTCATTCAAACTATGTCGTCAGTAAAATATTCTCTAAGACAAAGTTTTACGATTCTCAAGGAAAGTAGTCGAGTTTAGACCAAAATGAGTAGCAGAGAGTAGGAAACATACGCAACACAGTATGCCAAAGTAGCAACCACCAACAGAAGACTGCATATTACGATAAATGCAGGATCATCACGTGCCCACTGGTTCTTTGTTTCTAAAAAGAAAAGAAAACAATAAACGAAATTTAGATGAACAGTACAACTGCAGTAACAAAAATATTTTACGAGAGAGATCGACAGAACACCAACAGATGACGAAAAAAAGGAACAACGATAGATGATATTCAAGCTCAAACTTGTGCACTAAACATCAAGTTGCTAAAGATAAACATGGGCACATTTACATGTAACTATTGGTAGAACTGAATAAAAGCGGAAAAATTGAATAGAATAATACACCATAGTTTCTTTTCTTTCTTTTTTTGATAAGGAATAATACACCATAGTTTCTTTTAAACACTCACCAAGTTTTGCTTCAAGGGCGTCTCAATATAAATTTTAAACTATGTGCACCAGATCAGAGGTCCAAAAACAAGCACTCCTAACGCTCACCATCCTAATTTTTTTTTTGATAACCGTGGTGTCCGGGCCAGCTTGTGCGCACCTCGACTAATTCCACGGGATACCTGTCACCTCCCACCACAGGTACCAGGTAACTCTATCCACCAAGGCTTGGATAGATGGGAAGAAAATCACCTAGTGTGCCTCCGCTGGGATTTGAACCTGAGACCTCATGGTTCTCACCCACTTCATTGACCACTAGGCCACACCCTTGGGTGCTCTCACCATCCTAATTTATATGAGCCCCTTGATCAGTTCAAGGATTTAGAACAGAAAACAGGGTAGTATAAGTTGGAGTTTCGTATAGATTTCATAGCAAGATCAATACAGAGAACGAAGTACATCTATAATAACCCCTATATCCCAATTTATCTGATACTGGACACAAATTTTAGGATATCATTTGACTTGTGTATTTACATAGAGTAATTAAAGAAAAATATTAAAGTTAATTTCACGAAAAAATATTACATCACGATCAAGATATAAATTTAACTACTTAAATGAGTTTGAATACTTACTAGAGAAAGCCGTAGAGAATAAAATTACTTTCTATAAGTCGTATATGATGAAATTATTGAGGGTAGAAGTGTAGGCCCAATATACCCAGTTCCTAGACTGAACCAACGAATTACCTCAGTCTTCAAGAAATTTGATAAGGGAGTGATACCAGATCTTTCTTCTGACGTCCCAAAATACATATAACTTGGAATGGATGACTAGTTTAGACTATTGAGATTGGAGGACTTGCCATTCTTATCCCAAAAAAAATAGGTGTAAGGATCTAACTGGAAAAACAAAGAGGAAAGAAAGCCGAATAAATTGAATGTAGGGTGGAACTCCTAATTCCAAAACATGAAAGCAAGGATAGTCCAATAAAAATATAAAAGTTGATACAAGACAGGGGTGCCCCCGAAAATGGGCTTCTCCTTCTGAAACCTACACAACAATGACTAAGAAACTACGGATTGAGCATCACTGGACCAATTCACAAATTCATTTTTCCAATCCAAAAGAGTCATTAATGAATGAGATGATAAGGATAATGGAACAGAAGAAGAAACTTACGCTTGTGGTACTTTGTGTGCTGATATCTGCATCCATTGTCCAATACCACAAACAAAATGCAAATGCAACATCAGTAATTCAGACTTAAATTAAATAATGAGCTGATTTTTGCATTTACTATAGCATATCAAGATCAAATTCAAAAGATTAGACAAAGATATGAAAAATGGACCAGTACTCTAAAATTCTCAAAAATAAGGTCTCCAACCGTTATTTCAATACTTAATCTCATTGAATTTACATCCATATATGAGTATGTTTGGGATGAAACAAATCGCTATGGTTCACAGGAGTTCCAATGTTTATTCATCTATCATCAAATCAGTATTAGATCTTGTTAACTGATACCCAGAAAGGTGATCAAGATTGGATCGTCTGAAACAACTTACTATACGATACACAAGATTAATGCAAGTTCATTAACATTAAACATCCTATGAAATATTAGCTGATGCTAGCAGTAATAGTGCAAACGGAGCATGGTCCTCAATACACAAAGTACTTACACTACTTTAGGAGAGGTGCATAGGTGAAGCATTTGCCAAAAGGTATATTCAATGTCCATTTGTTGCCACTGCGAAGATTAAATGAGAAAAGGAAACAATAAGATTACCTTGGAATGAAAACCAGCTCTGAACAAACGATTAAACAGAAATCAACAAACGAGCATATTCCTCGAGTAACTTCTCAAATTTGCCAAAATATAATAAAGGAGCACTTATTAGACAATATGGAGTTCATGATGGGGAGTTACACCACAGATGAGGTTCAAACATATGCAAACTAACCAGATTAAATTAGACAACGGGAAACAGTAGAGTGATTTTGGCACTACGATTGAGAAAGACATCTCCACAGAGACCAGCGGATCCAAGACACTGCAAACTGAAACGGGCTACTTTATTATTAATTTGTACGTTTCCGTTTTGCACATCAAGGAAATATGTAACTGTTTAAGAGGGTTCAGGATGCAGTCCAGAACCAATTCGGATTTATGCTGGAGCGTTCGACTACAAAAGCTATTCACCTTGTTAGGAGGTTGATGGAGCAGTACAGGGAAAGGAAGAGGGATTTACATATGGTGTTCATCGACTCATAGAAGGCTTATGATAAAGTGCTCAGGGAAGTGCTGTGGAGATGTTTAGAGGCTAGAGGAGTTCATGTTGCATATATTAGGGCTATTAAGGACATGTACTATGGAGCTAAGACCTGGGTGAGTAGTGAGGACAATGAGAGATCTTGGGTCTAAGTTGCTCCGACACGGCAGTTTAGGTGCCGCACCCGTGCCGACACGACACTAATATGGGTGTGGCAATGGATCCATACCGGATCTGGTCAAACAATGTTGGATACCTTGACCACGACGGATGGAAAAATTCCAGACAAGATACAATTTAATTCCCGAAATCAAAATCAAAACTAGGATAAATTTGAAGAAAATAGCGTACCTTATCTAGGAAATCAATCCTTTACGTATCTACAACTTGAGAATAAAAAAGAAATACTGACTTTACAAACTATACGTAAGTATTTCACAAAATTTCTCATAATTTAGAGATATTTTTATTTTTTTTGAATTAATTTTAGCCGGATCCCCGCAGTGTTATCAAAGGCGAAAAGCGCAAAAAAACTCTAAGGTCCGTTGGGGCTTTAAGCACAAACCGCAATTAAAGCGTGGGCTTTAATGAAAAAAGGCGCAACTGGAGAAAAAGTAAAAATATGTATATGTAGTCCAAGACCAGTAATTATAAGCACGAATAACAAATATATAGACAAAGAAATTAAAAAAAAATACGATAAAAGTGAAATATCAATTGGTTAGTGTCACATATTCAGGATTACACTCATTGGCAAGGAAAAGTATGTCTTAGAGCCTTGGTGCAACACAGAAGCGCCCACAAAACGAGGCGAAGCGCTCAACATGTTTTGAGTCTTGCTTCAGGGCTTAAGCGCGCTTTAAGCGCTCCTTTCTTAGGATTATTACGAATTTACATCTCGAAGGATTCGACCTCTAGATCCGCACCCGTGTCGAATACCTGTACCTGTGTCCTAGCAACTTAGCCTTGATGAGGATGTCACACACCGTATTGGGGCGGGATGGATGAAATGGAGGCTCGCTTCTGATGTTTTGTGTGATAAGAATGTGCCGCCAAAACTTAAAGGAAAGTTTTACAGAACGGTGGTCAAACCGACTATGTTGTATGGGGCGTAATGTTGGCCAGTCAAGAACTCCCATGTACAGAAGATGAAGGTGGCTGAAATGAGGATGTTGAGATAGATGTGCGGGCATACCAAGTTAGATAAAATTAGAAATGAAGTTATCCGGGACAAGGTGAGCGTGGCTCCTGTGGAGGACAAGATGTGGGAGACGAGACTTAGATGGTTCGGACATGTAAAGAAGTGAGGCACCGTTGAGGAGGTGTGAGAGGCTGGAATTGGAGGGCCAACGAAGAGGTAGAGGTAGGCCAAAGAAGTATTGGGGAGAAGTGATTAGGCGAGATATGGCGTTGCTCCAGTTTACTAAGGACATGACCATGGATAGAAAGTGTGGAGGTTGAGAATAAAGGTAAAGGGTTTGGTAGTCGAGCATTGTGCATATTTGTAGCAGTCGCTTTGATACATCACTTAGTGTCTTTTGTGTATTTTCGTATCCCTAGACTTCTGTTATTACTTGTTACTACCTTTGTTTCGATTTTCTGTTTGCATTCCTTAATGTTAGTTGTGTATTTTCGCTTCGGTTGTCAAATTTGGTTTGCTTGTTATTACCCCTTCCATTTATCTTTCCTGAGTCATGGGTCTACCGGAAACAGCCACTCTATCTTCTTAGAGGTAGGGGTAAGGTCTGCGTACACTCTATCCTCCCCATCCTCCCCAGACCTCACTTGTGGGACTACACTGGGTATGTTGTTGTTCGTGGTGGATGCAGTCCGACTTGAATACTATCTCCACCACACCAGATGGAACACCCCGATCAAGAGTGATATTTCCCTCAAATTACACAATGAAATACCCATAGATAAAGGCGGAGCTAGCCTTGAAGATACGGGTTAAACCTAATAACTTTGGTGTAAACTTCGTATTTGTCTTAAGAGTTCCGTTAAATATGGACAAACTATCAATTTAGAACCCAATAACTTAAAAGAGCTAGAATCTCGAACTCATAAGCTTCAAATTTGGCTCCGCCTCAGCCCACATATGTGACAAAACCAAAGGTTAGGATCTCCTAGTTCCCCACTTTGTACCAACAATGTGGAGGATCAAAAGGACTTTCTTCCATCCTTTAAGTGACGGTGCAAAAAGCAAGTGTGTATTATCAAGTATTTGTCCAAACAACCACCAGCGTAACTTTATTAACTTGGAACTGCCTGGATCAACAAACCTTCACGTTCAAGTTTCAACTTTCCTCGCCTCACCTAGACTTTCCTAATTCCCAGTTCTTTTTATAAGAGATTTTCCTAATTCCTAATAATAGCCTCGAATAGTTGAAGAATAAGAATCAGTTAATTGCTTGAAAAAATGGAAAGATTTACTGAAACCTGCAGCAGAACTAAATGCATCGATTCCAATCTTAATATAGCTTCCATAATGCTAGGTGCCTCACTATGTTTCCAGCTACCCCTAACTAATCTAATACTGACAATGGCCAAGTGAAACTATATTGCCAGCAGTGGAGGGCCATCCGAAGGAATGATGAATCTAGGATAAATAGTTCTGGCAGTCAAACTTCCTGCTGCTCCATCTACAGAACTGTACACAGTGCACACAGAAGCAGGCCGGAAGTAGTGTAGGGAGGAAGCGGAGATCATAGAAGACTTTTAAGGGGTTGTTTGGTTCACATACTAGTTGTGTGGGATTATAATATAAGAATTGTTTATCCAATGAATAATAATATAATAATAATTTTGCGATGAATAATAACACACTAAATGTTATGCAGGGTTACCAACCTAAAGGGCTTTTCCATCTTTAGATACGCTTAGTTACATATTACTAATACATGTATTCTTATTTCACATTTATCCCGCATAAAACGTTACATAAATTCCTTCATAAGTTAATCCGCTACTAAGTTTAATACTGCCAACTAAATGTTGCATTAGTTATATGAAGATCACGGTATTGCTTATGTGAAATTTTATGCAGGGATTATCTTTACTGATACAAAACAAAACAGCCCCTACGGATGTTCTTTTGTTGATCAACCAAGCCAGAAATGGAAAGAAACCTCTTGCAGCACATATGGAGAATTGTTGGTATAAAATTGGAAACCTCATGACCCAAGCTCAAGCATGTTAAAAACGTGACCAACAGAGCGGCAGATTGCCTTGTTAGTCATGTGCACATATGTTAAAAGGCTCACACTAATTTGTCACCTGTTCCCTAAAATTCTTTTGTGTTTAACTTAAGGCAGTGGAACTGTAACTCTTCCTACATTTCAGGCAATTGGACATCTGAAGCACAAAAATAACTAAACAACATATAAGGACGTGAAACATGCCCCTAGTTCCTCAGCAGAACACCATTCTAGTTCACTGGCCCACTGCTCACATATGCATTCGCACAAAACTCCTATGATCACCTAATTATAGTGGAAATGCATTCAAAGCATAAAAGGAGCGCCTGAACTTAAACACTCGTGATCATAAAGAATGATAATCATTAAAATTTCCTAATTTTAACCTGAATTATACAGAGGATTGCGAGGATATAAAGCCTGCAACCAGAAAGGCGACTAATTTAAACAACAGAATGACAGGATCAAGATCTGATCTGTACAAGGTAAGCAAAACCACATATCCATGGCACACTGGAGAGTTGAATGAAAATAGAGAATGAGAAAAACCTTGATTATTCGGCGAAGGTACTGAGGCAATACTGAATTGGGTCGGACATGAGAGCTCGTTCGACCTTTCGAAGTTGTGGGCAGCATCTTTCTCTTTTTCCTCTTCTTCTACAATTTTCTGTTTGTTCTCTTTAGTTGATTCAATTGGATCAGAGATTCAGATGTCTCTGGATTTTAAGCTCTCTGTCTGGTTAGACACTCCAGTCCGCTCTCTTGCTCTCTCTCCCCCGTGTGTTTCCCCTCTCTTTCTGGTAAGGCAGGTGACTCGCTGACGGGTTCGGGTGAAATAACCCAGCCCAACAAAAAGGATCCAATTGAAGGCCCGAGGACGATACCTTCAACACTTTTTCCTTTTTTTGTTTTTTTTCAGACATCAACACTTCACAAATTACCTGTTTACCTCCTCTTCTTTTTCAAATGACAAATCTATTCTAAATCTACAATAAGGGGTCAAGAAACAAGTCATGTGTAGATTAATGATATACGGATTTAATGTATGAATAGTAATGTAGAAATTAATAATGCATGAATTGTATGTTTTTTTTTTTTAATAATAATTATTTAACACATGAGGGTGGGTTATTTTGGTCACTTTAGTTGGCTTAATCTATTTACAGTAATCAATATATTCTTATTTACCTTTTACTATGCATAAATAATACATAATTTCTGTTATGAAATATTATATTATGTAGTGGATGTCTATAACTCCTAAAGAAGTTATTCTCACTCATCTTCTCTATTAACCTCCCACTACTTCTTACAATTATTGTTGTAACTCTCACACCTCCATAACCTCCTCCATGATCTTCCACCATGATCTCAATAATTAATACAATATTCATGGCATCCCTTTGTATTACCTATATCATCCTATAAATATAGGGTTTGGGCATCACATTGTACACACTTGGAAAACACTTGAAGAAATAAGAATCTCTCCTCCCTTTCTTTCTACATTCTTGTCTATTTACTTGTTTCGTATTATTACTTTGAGTTAAGTTTCTTAACAATTCCTGTATATTTTATGCAAGTATTACTAATGCGAGGGACAAAAATGATAACCTAACATTATACTGTTAATGTTGAATTTTATGCAAGTATTAAAATGTTAACCAAACATAACATTGCTAATCCCAAATTCTAAAACATGAGGAACTCAGGGTCAAAAGTGTACTGTATCTAAACTTTAGATGCCAAGTAGCATTTCAAATAATCACAGGGGCATGTTGCCCTAAAAGATTCATCGTCGTCCAGGAAATCAAATTCAGTGGCGAAGCACCGGTGCCCCTAGGGAAGGTTTTCTCAGTCGCAACGGTAAAGAATATATTCTTCTATACCTTATATTCTGCCGTCAGTGGGAGAGTGAAATTAAATATCTTCTTTCGTTTGCGAAGATGTCATCATCTGGTCGATCGGCGGCCGTGGCGGCCGGCGATTTACAGGTGGTCCCTGCGTCGGAGAGGCAGGTGGCTGCCCTACCTCCTCGCCCTCCAGCGTCTTCATCCACCGCTCTTGTAGAATACACGCCACCTGCAGCTAATCCTGAAGAGGAGGATCTCGAGATCAAGCTCCGTCGTATACTTGAATGTGTGCCTGTGCGGGTTAGCAATACATCTGGTAGTTCTGCTGGTTCTGGCTCTGGTGACTTTCATCAGGTACCGCTACACTATTCTGGTTCGTTGTTGAGCCGTAGTTTGCTCTGGTTTGTTTTCTTTGTAGTTAACTATATATGCTGCTATTCCGAGCGTTTGATTATTTCCTACTCTATTCTGATATATAATCGTGTTAGCGTGCTTTGAAGTTAGAATTCATTCTGGTAACGGCTGCTGAACAGGAAATTACTTGAGTTTAGAGACTCTGTGTGTGGACTGTGGTAAATTGAGAGCACCAGAATTAGTTGTTAATTTAAGGTTTTGAGAATGATGTAATTCTTGTAGTAAACATTGAAACAGATAAATAGTAGGACTTTGTTGTGCTGCAGCCTGCAAGATGTATAAAGTTCGATTGAATGTGTTCAAAATTGATGATTTGCTTAAGTCTAACCAGAAATTTGCGAGGCTGCACCTGTCTATTGAAAAGCATAATAAGGTAAACATATCATACAGTTGCTGGTTTGACTCTTAGATTGAGTTGCTATTTGTGAAATGACTTTCTGGCGAGACACACTATTTAGTGATTCACTTATTTTGCTGAAGTTCATGTTATACAATGTGATAGAGTTAATATCCTATGTGCTGAGTTGCTATTTTGCTGAGTTAATGTCCCTAATTCTTTTCACAAAGAAGAAACTCAGCATCATATTAAGAACCCTTTTCCTTCTGCTGTCCTTTTTTTTAGGATCGATAAAGATATAATTTTGTTGATGACACATTCTTCCTTTTCTTTCTGTTTACTGCATTATCACTAGATGAATTATAAGTTACGTAAAGAGGTCTGTTCCTTATGTTTTCAACTTGAACAGAAACTCGTCTTACAATGTTCTGGTGAGGCTATAGAATTGAATGATAGGGCTCCTTGTCATGGTGGCTAGGAAAATTCAGATGAAAAGTGAGATCACTTTCAGATAGCCTGATGGAGCTTATGTCCTACCTAGAGGACCTAGGTGCTCTTTATAATCCCTCAGTCTGCGTGTTTTGGGCTAATCTCATGGAGGAAACAGCCAAAAGTAGTTAATTGTGTTCACCACTTTGACATAGCCCTTCTACCCTTACTTTCCTACTAATTAGGAAGAAAGAGGCACTTGGCCTTGGCCTGACCTGCAAGATTCGCCACTGGGGACAGTAGGGGCATAATTTTATTGGAAGCAATCACGTGTTTCAACGCTGACAGCTGCACAAGCGATGCCTCCAAATTCCAGTATCACTTTTTCTGCCTTATCGATAGTTTAGTGGCACTTTGCAGTCCAACTATGGTTTGAAATGATGTCTCCTGGCTGCTTTTACTGTTGTCTCATCAACTGACTTTTCTTGCTCTCAGTATCTACTTGGTTATAATTCATGTCGAGCTTAATTTTCAACCATAGGTCTTTGGCAGGCAATATAGTTAGTTTCTTGAGCAAAGCTTCCAAGTTCCAAGGAACCTGTTTGCAGATTGTGAGTGTTCAAATAATAAAGCCATAGCTGAAGTAGTAGGGTGGGGATGAGAGTAGTTTAGTTCTAGAGAATTTCCATGAGAGAGAAAGAGATTGCAACGGCAGTACTTAAAAGGGCGGAAAAGCCATCTCTTGTGTATAGTTTGCTCTGTGAAGAAAGGGAATGCAGTTAAGATAGCACTCTAGAGGGCCAGGGATTGAGAATGCATGTTCTATTTTGAAGAAGAAAATAGAAGTGCTTGTTGTTTATCGAAGAAGGCCTACGTTTTTATTGCATTGCATTTGTGAAATGTCAAAAGGATGAGACATGTCCTCAAGAACTCTAGAAGTGAGATAAATTTCACTGAAGATTACCGGTAAAGTGCACTTTGAAAGAAATAATATATCAGATGCAGGCAAATAGGTAGGTAAGAAATAGCTCCCAAATTGCTAAAGGTTCAATATCTTATTTATTTTAGTGTTAACATTTTGAAAGATTGAAGCAGTATCCACTCTCAAAAGAATATTGAAGAAGTTTTAAGAGTTAATGGAGATCGGATGATTCATTCCGTAAAAGATGCAAGTGATTACAGTGGTTTTTAGTGGTCAAAGTTGGAAGTAGATATGTGTAAATGATTGCACTAACCTAATCTTCCCTGAAATTAGGAGAAGAAATGTGCTTTAGAGTGTAGAGAAAGGTTTGTTGTTCTGCTCAGGCAATTTCCTTTTATTATCTTGTTTTTGTGGATCTGTACTGACTCTGAAATCTGTTATTCTGACCCTTGATAGAAAATTTCTTGTAGTTTTGTCATATTTACTTCCAGTAAGCTCAAGTGGCTTTTCCTTAAGTTTTTCCTTTTTTTATTCCTGAAAAGATTGGAACACAATCCTGTAACTAAATGCAGGCAAATCAGAGATGACTGTGTCTTTCTAGTTGCCTCAAGCCTAACCTGAACGAGTTAGTTGTGAAATGGGATCGAAGTGTTTGAACTGATAACTCTGCCTGTTTTTTCTCGTCTGGTTGAAGATTTCACTATTTGCAAAATGTCTAGTGTCTGCTAAGTTTGACAATTTGTTATCTTGAAAAAAATTGGGTGCTGGAATATTTGCTGATGTTAGGATTATAGTTATGTATATATATTGTAGGAAAAATACAATTTTACAATTGCGTTTAGATGTTCGTGGGGTGCAAATAGTTCATCTTAAGCAGTATGAGTATTAGTGTATACTCATCGACCTGGAGCTTGTCTTGGTTTATTTCCTCCCATTACTGCCATAATATGATATATGTTGACTTTAGTGACTCATATTGTTGCTTTGAGTTCAAATGTGCTTGAGTAGTATTCGAGTCGTGTTTATATGTGCATATATGTCTTCTTATCTGACTGCATGCCGAATCAATCAACGCTGACAAGAAACTGGATAGTATTTCATCAGTTACCTAAATCTGGAAATTTGAAGTGATGCCAAAAAGTAAAATGAACTCGTTATTTAAGTTACGTCTTACTTGAAATTAAACCTGGTTTCCCCCGGCCTGTTTGGTGGTTTCCATGATATGGTCCATGGCAAATACATACGTATAGATGACGTTCTTCCTTTTCCTCGGTCAAGCTTTCTATTGGAGGCATAATCTTGGATGTTTAGCCTGTATTTGTTCATATGTCAGAGTTATGGTTGACAAAAGCTATTGAAATTTGTTATTCTTCATAGGTGTTTTCCTGCATTTTGATATCTGAACATGCATTTTGGTATTCAACATTGTAATTGCAATCTTTTGAATGTTGTGTAAGAAGTGATTTACTGCGATTGGGTCATATCTGGTTTTAAAGAATACGCTGACAGCGTCAATTGGCAGAAATAACATTTTATGGGGATTTGTGGCTGCAGTATCGGCAGATGAGACGGAGAGAACAAGACCGACTTGCAAGGATGGACGCAGATTACCAAAAAAGGAAAGAAGTTGCTGAATTCAACTTGAGAAGGGAAGAAAAATTAAAAGCTGCGGAAGAGCGGACAGCGAAGAAACGTGCAAAGCGGCAGAAGAAAAAGCAGAGGAAGAAAGAAAAGAAGAGTAATTCTAGTGCAGGTGGAGAAGAAAGCCGCAGGGAAGAGTCGTCTGATGATGATTCTGACAACAACTAAGAAGGGAGAGATGGTTGACTTCAAATTTAGTGTGCACCGCCTAGATGCTTTGATCGGGAGCTTACATGAGCTATATAGTTCGAAACTTGTGATCATGTAACATAATTTGTGAACAGTTTTTCAACATCCAATATGTAATACTCCTGTATTTTGTCTTTTGTTTCGTTTAGTTGAAAAAAACTATCATCTAGAATCTGGGGGGCTTAAAACTTTGATTCGTGAAATCTAGATGGTCCTGGGACGGGCAATCTTGGCTGCTAAAGCTCTGGTACCATTGTCAATATAGTAAGGCGCTGTCCAGCTAGTTGTTATATAGTCTTTGGGAGGCCCCCACCCTATCTTTTATTGGAGTTTACAGTTGAATCATTGAACCACACCACTAGCAGTTGGTGGGCGTCACCAATAGTTGTCATTCTCTTTTGCGTACAATTCAAGAAATTGACACATAATTTTATATTCTTTCTTTTCTGGGAGCAGAAGTGAAATAATCAGCAACTCTCAAGCATTAAACTGATGCAACTTAGATCACAGTTGGTGAATATAAATATGTTCCCGTTAAAAAGCAGTATTGACATAAATACGACCAGGTTAGGCTAGATAACTTCTGGAGAGAAAATTTTGATATGCACAATGCAATATGTCTATTATTTTACAGTGGATTAATAATCACCCGGCTATATTCTTGACTTGTGATTTGTATCATATCATAATGCCAATTTGGTTGTTAGTCACAGGATGAGGATTGTAAAGGTTATAGTTTACCCAACTAGATCATTTATCTAATTGTGATTACTCTCTATTGTGCATTTGATGATGTGCCTTACTGGCGTGCAATTACTTGTAATGTAATAATTTAATTTGATCTTAAATTTGATCCGTCGTTCTTAGACATTATAATTATCGAGTAAAAAGTCCAAAAATAAAAGAAGAAAAGAAAAGTAAAAGTCTTTACCCTTTAGCGTAACGTCCTTTTGATATTTTTTTCTTCATTCATTATGTTATTGTTCAATTCACTAGCACGACTAAGGCGTATTTGAAAGTTGAAACTTGAAACTGATTTACCATAGCCTGACCGCAAAATTACCGTCATCGCCCTTTCAGATTCTCCCTCCGTCCCTGCGGTCTTCATTCTTCGGTTGCAGAAGTATACAGAAACCCTAATCGCCATGGGAGATAATCGTCAGTCTTTTGTTCATCATGCTCTTGGTGGTGGTCCAGGTCTCTTTCCCATCTACGCCTGCGTATTGCCTTCTTCATATTCTTGCCTCTGTATATAATTATGCATCCAATGCCCAATTCTTGCATTTTCATATATTCAGATTTGACATTGACCTTATTGCATTTCTTAATTACAGCATCAAATGACTGTTGATTGTGAAGTACTAATTGATCACGAGTATAAGCATCTGCTTTTTCTAGAATATTTTTTTTGAAGTGCTTAAATTGTGATTGCAGTGGCGGATGTGTTGTTGTGGAGGAGATGGTGTGGTAGTGTGACTCTGCTTGTCAGTTCCACTGCTCTTTGGATTCTATTTGAGAGAGCTGGATATAATGTCCTTTCCTTTATTGCTAATGTCCTGTTGCTTCTAGTTGTGATTCTCTTCTTCTGGGCTAAATCTGCTTCACTTCTTAACAGGTAATGAATAACTCAATTCAACTTTTTCGAAATACTCAGTTTCTGATTGCTCTGTGACTAATTGGTGGATCATCTATTTTGTCTATGAGTATTTGAAAATTAAAGCCTTGATCTGCTTGGTTGTTGCATTTCTTCTGCCTTTTCAACTGGAGCATGCATTCCGTTTGTGATTTTGATCGCGTTTAGATTTGATGTTCTTTTTATGGTTAAGATGAGTAAGACTTGTTATGGCTTAAATGTTCAATTAATGTTTCTACAATTTCAGGCCTCTACCTCCTATCCCTGATATGGAGATTCATGAGGAATCTGTGGTAAAAGCTGCTGATATGGTGCGTGTTTGGATCAATCATGTATTGATGATTGCGCATGATATTGCTATTGGTGGGAACTTAAAACTTTTTGTTAAGGTCTGTTTTTATGGGACCCTTTCCATTTCATGCATCATGTTTTGTTCTCCTTTATCATGCGTCATGTTATGTTCAAGTTTACAATTTATCAATATGGATTGGTTTATCAGGTTGCTCTTGGCTTGTGGCTGGTATCTTATGTTGGTAGTTTTTGCAACTTCCTCACGTTCATCTACATTGGTGAGTAGTAGCATCTCGTCAGGACAATATAAGTTGTTGGAGATTTATTGTTGACTGGATTGTGTATCTTGCCTTCAGGAATTCTTTTTAGCTTGTCAGTGCCGCTGTTGTATGACAAGTACCAAGATCAAATTGATGACAAGCTTATTATAGCACAAAAGGTCATTCAGACACAGTACAGAAAAATTGATGATAACGTCCTGAGAAAGATTTCAAGGCCTTTAAACAAGGAAAAGAAGACTCAATAAACTGTAACTTCTCACCTTACCCTTTCTCTTGCTCTCTCTTTCTATCAGATACTAAGAGATACATGCAGTTTTCTGTTTCTTGTGAAAATGACGACAGACTTAAACTTTTGTTTATTTAAGGATCTTGTGTTGTGCTGCTACACATTCGTTACATTGTGCCTTTTCTGGAAAGCAAAATACATTTGTGCTGCTCTAAGCTCTTGATATGCTAATACAAGGGGTACTAATAGTAGCTATTTTACTTGCTGATTCTGACTTGTTTTGGGATGAATTTTCATATTTCTTCTGGCCTAATTACAAGAGCAAGGCTCTTGAGGTACCTGAAGACTTTAAAAGTGCAGCTATACCCCTTATCTATGATTTCCCTTGTTCAAGTCCTTTCCTTGGGCACATGATAGTCTGCTGATCAGTCAAGACAAAATTTATAGATAAAAACTTATTTGTGCTCCAGATGCATTAACTTTGTGAGAAATTTGGAAACGTAGAAAAATCATAGAACAAGTAAAAAGTGGTGAAAGTCACACATTAGAGCAGATACTGAAAATTTGTCTAATTTTATGTTTACGCCTTTCAACCATGTAATTTTCCTCTGCTCTCGGATATCCGTCTGGGCCTTTTTAAAAAATTAAATGAAAGTCATCCGTAAGCTGCTTTGACCAGAGAAGTGACTCTAATTCCCCTAAGGACCACCAATTAGGTGTTCTCTAATACTAGAGGTTCTCTACAACCATATCAATAAATAAATAAATATGCGTTTCATCTTATTGCCAAGAATAAGTTATCCATATTTCTTTTTACCTTCTATATGTGTGATTCGTCTTCTAAATATCCTTAAGCTTTTGGCATAAAAGCTTCCTTAAATATTATTGACAAATATCACAAATCAATTCGCCCTCTTAAATTACTCAAAAGTTTATTTCTTCCCATATGTTCAAGCCTTTGTGGACAGAAATACCCAGTATCTGTGCTGGTGGGTGGGAGGTAGCATGTACCTCATGGATTTAGTCAAGGTGCGAACAAGCTGGCTAAGACATCACGGTATTAGGAAAAAGATTGCTCAAGAGTTTAACCGAGCTGGTCATGATGGATTTAATTGGATGCACAAATTTGGGAATCTTAAGAGCATTTAGATTACATAATAATTGCTGATTTAAAATTCTGGGTTTGGATTCCAAGGGATACCTTTGGGGTTGAAATTGTGCAATTAGATCTGATTCTTAACTTTTACAGTGAGATTCTTGTTCCGTGTCCTGGTTTTGGTTTGGAGGTGTGATTGACATAAACCAGATAGACAACTAAGCTCTTCAAATATTGCTGTACTCTTAGTTTTGAGTTGCTGCTCTAGCCATGGCTTTGCAGATGTGAAGATTCATCTCCTTGCTGTTGTTCAAACAACATGCAAGGCAGCTTGTGGATAGGATATTTGTCTGCCCTTGGAAATTATTTCCTTTATATTAAAATAAGACGTATACAGTACAACCAAACTTATCTAAACATGAGACAACCTTTCATCTTCAGAAGTATAATACCTTTGGCTCCTTTCTCCCAAGTTCCGAGTTGAGTATATTCACATTATTTGTTCTGTGTTCACAAAAAAATTACTACTGTTTCAATCATTTTCATTTTTGAAGATTGAAATTGTTTCTTTGGAGGGTTAGTTGGCATGTAAATTAGCATAGTGGAGCACAGTATACTTGTAGCCTACTGACAGCAGAGATTTAGGTTCTCTTATGCTTCATGTTGAACCTCAACATTGATCACCGAAACTACAGCTATGAATTTCAAACAGTTACCATGAACAGTAATTCACTGATTTGTTTAGCATACAGAGATGTCCTAATTCCAGCTCAAATGTACAGTTCCAAGCAGCTACGTTTTTTTTGAGAAGGTAAGTTCCAAGCAGCTACATACACCATGAGTCTGTGTCAGTTGGCTTACTTTTTTCAAGTGAAAAGATCTTCAAAGGATCTTTGAACCACAGTGTACCCCTGGTTTGCTTTACAGTTCAACAGGGTATACCCTCTAAAATCCCCAGCTTAGAATATCTTCAAGACATCCCAAAGCGATGTGCGTTATTCAGCATTTTGTGAAAAGTTTTTTCTACTTCATTTCCGACATTAAAGATGAACAATGGCTGGCATTACCTTGACGAGGAAGGATATAGTAGGGATCTGTGACCCATGTGGACTTAATGGCGAGAAGCCAGTCAGTGTAGATCATTAGAAGCTATATATTTTTCTTTGCCTCCATCTTCACCTGTCAATCTTTTGCTAACCGTAATTTGTTCTCTCTGCTCCTTTTCTTTATTTGCTCAGCTGGTTTTACTTCGATTTCAACTTTGTTTCTCTTTGATAATGGATCAAAGCAGACAGCTTAGATGCATTACTCCATGTTCATGAGTGAAGTATCATTCTCAGAATTTTCTGAAATCTGTTTTATTCATTTGTAGGTTCTCTAACATGGACCTGTGGGACTGGATCATCCAGTATTGATAGTATGAAGCTCAATTGCCTTGCAATGCAGTGTTATAAAGAAAGCTCAACTTACTAGTTTTTGCTTATTTTTTGTGAATGATTCTTGATTATCTTGGTTAGTGGAAGTGCCTGTTGCAGATGGAGTACTGGTTTACATGATTGGAAATAGAAATAGTGATATGGTCATTTTGATTGGTAATCCACTGGCATTTTAATGGAGCTTGTGCATACTCTGGAAATTATTTTGCTATGGATTTAGAATCTCTCTGGTCCTTGTTGCTTACTAATTGTACTATTTTCTAGTATATATTTTGAGCCTCAGAAACTGAGATTCATTTCTTTTTCTTCTTTCTTCCTTTTGGAGCTGTCCTCATGTGAACATTGTGCCTTTGGAAAAAGAATTTCCTTTGTCTGGGGTGGTGATGGGGACTGCTCTATGATTGGTGATGTGTTAATGTTGTTTGGGATGTTGAAGTTTAATCAATTTTCAAAATTTTGTTCTTTGCGCTTCTTTTTTTTCCCCGTTATTCGTTTTGTGAGAAGCTATTATAAGCAGACCTTTATTCGCAATGGGCATTATGTTGGCCAATATTGTGATCCAGAAAATAAAAACTCATTGCGGGACCGTACAAGTACTACTTGAGGATAATACTTAAAAAATATTTGTTTTAGTATTTTATATTATGGAGCAAAGTTTTGGTTGACAGTTTATTGATGTTTATGCTGTTTTTATGATGAATCCTATCTTATCATTCTTCCATGTGTTCCTATTTAGAATGGAATAAGTAAGACCAAAAAGAGAGCCAAGGAATCAGGTTGAGCGCTGTAATGATGCTCAATAGTATTAACTTGAAAAATATGTTCAATATCAAATCAATTGAGGTTTGTTTGTGAACATCTTGGAAAAAGAAATGAAGAGCTTCTTCCGGAAAAGAGTGAGTTCAATTTCTACAGTGAGAAAAGGAGGAATAAGATCATAAACAAATGTTAAAGTCCCTTTGCGCCGAATTATGTGAAATCCTTCTAATACCGTCGTAGTGTCAATAACACATTTCTCTAATTAATTTTATAGTCAATCTAAATCCTAAAAATATTATGGTTCAATCTTCCTAGTTTTAATGAAGGAAATAAAGGTATACACCTTATTTATTATAAATTAAAATTATTTTAAAATATTATTTTCTATAGCTACCTTTTATATTTTATAGCAAAATAAGTATTTATGGTATATACTACAATTGAGGCATGAAATATGCTATTTATGTTTTTTCTCTCTCTTAGATAGCTGGACATACCTATTTTTAAGGTGATTGTAGTTACTGTATTCATGAATACATGGCGTGAATACATGCGCATACAGCTGGAATGCCCTGATTTTAGGCGCTTTTTACTGTTGTGTATTCATGAATACAGCAGCGCGAATACATGCGTGTACAACTGGGCTGCCCTGATTTTAGGCGATATTTGCTGCTGTATTCATGAATACATGACGCAAATACATGTGAATACATGCACATACAGTTGGACTGCCCTGATTTTTAGGCGCTTTTTGTTGTTGTATTCATGAATACATGTGAATATATTACGGTAACAACTAAATAGTAGGTATAAGAAGTAATTATGTATATGATAGTTATCGGGAGTTAATAGCCACTAAACGATAGTGGTTTATGAAAATTCCTCTTTAACGAATACTTCCAATTTAGAACCTACTATATATGGGCTTCAGTCGGCCCAAATTTCTCTAATGGGCCACTAACGCGCCGCAGGCCCTCAAGCCTTCTCCTATTTCTCCTCCTCAGGTTCTTCACCGTCCGTCTCTCTCCGTGCTCAGCTCCTCCATTGTTGATTACTCAACAGGTAACTTCTCGAATTTGAGATTAAGCTTTTTTTTTTAATTGAAACTTTTTAATTCTGTGGATACATCAAATAAATTTCCTTATTTTTCTATTGTTATCAATCAAAATGAGTATATAATTTTTAAAACTTTGTGTTACTTTCGCCCAAACTGAGCTTATGTGAGCTTTGTAAAAATAGCTGGTCCAACTGTCCAAGACCAGATAAAGGAGCCGGGTTGCGATATGTTGACAATCAGTGTAAAAATAGCTTAGTGCAATCTGAATAATGAATACAGAAATTCATTTAACCAACCTAACTTGGATTAGAACCTAGTTGAAGGATTGATGTGGGTCTTGTGGCGGTGGCGCAGTAAGAGCAGCGAGTGTAGGTGGTCAGTAGAGTGGGAGAGGTGGAGAATAAATTAGGTTTTGAACCGGTTCGGTTACTGTATCAACGTCTAGACAGTGAAAATTGAATCAACATTAAACTGAAGATGTTAAAACTAGAGCTAACCCAGTGAGTTTTTAGTGGGAGGTGAACATTTTCCGGTTGATGAGACAGGTGTGGCTGTTTTAAAAAACTTTATTTTGAATTCAATGACCTGCAAATATTAGTTAGCCCATTTTGGTTCGCTCCATTTTCTTTTCCTTGTTGTGTTGTTTAGTAAATTTAGTTTAATGATAAATTTTTTGGCTATCTAACATCATTCATTTAGTACTTTTTCATTGCTGGTTCATAATTTGTTTTATCCATTAGCAGTTTTTTACAGAAAATTTGATAATTTTTGTCTCAGAGAGTAAAGTTTATTCCTTCCCGAAGAAAAATGAAAGAGGAAGAAGTAAATAGGTGCCAGATCCAGGAGTGGTACCCCAGATTTAAATCTGATTCCGTAAAGACAATGATACATGAGCTGCCCGAATCCTTTGTAGAGTACCTTACCGATGATCACGGTCCATTCCTTCTCCCCCTTTCCATTGATGATAGTGATGCTCTACCTAATAGGATCCATAAACCTGAAGAAGAGGAGGATTTTGAAGTATCTGAAGGGTCGGAAGATGAATCAGATCGACCATCGCCACCTCCTTCTTTCCCAGAACTCGAACAGGAGATCAAGGAATCTATAAAGGTCCTTGGGGGTTCTGTCTTCGTGAAGCTTAATTGGAGCGCACCAAAAGATGCTGCATGGATCAGTTCAACTGGGAATCTCTGCTGCAACTCTTTCAGTGAGGTTGCACTTTTACTACGGGCATCAGACTCTCTAATCCATGATCTGTGTCATGCATATGATTCCTGCAGTGATAAGACTAACTCTAGGCCCCCAAAGTTTTTCCTTGCACTTCGCAAATGGTACTCTTCTCTGCGCCCCGAGATGGAATTCCGCTGCTTTGTACGCAATGGGATCCTTGTGGGAGTCTCTCAGCGCGAGGTGACAGGATTTTATCCTGCTCTTCTTGAGAAGAAAGACGAGCTGACAACCATAATCCGGGAATTTTTTACATGTAAGGTGAAGGAAAATTTTGAATCAGAAAGTTATACTTTTGATATATATGTCACGAATGATGAACGAGTTAAGCTTTTGGATTTCAATCCTTGGGGTGCATTTACCTTGCCTCTGCTTTTCTCCTGGGAGGAATTGGAAGATAAATTGAAGGAAGAGGGAAACTGCTTGGAGTTTAGAATTGTAGAAAGCCAGTGTGGTGTCCGTCCTGGTTTGAAAACCGCTGTTCCATATGATTACCTGGATACTAGTCCAGGTAGTGGTTGGGATGAGTTTCTTAGAAAGGCTGATGAAGAATTAGCACAACAGATCAGGTCTCCTCAAGCAGGTGCTTGATTGTTAGATTTCAAGGATGGGTATGATGATACCTTTTTGAGTAATTAGCCTATAATATACTTGTTTGCTAAAATAGTTCTTGGTGTTTATGTAAACCAGATCATTCTTCTAAGTGATTCATTTCTTTTAAGATGGTCTTTTTCTTTACATTAGTAAGGTATAGTGTAGAAGTTCCTCGAAATTGAGTTCCTAACTGACGGGAAAAAATAATAGTTCCTTTGTTGTGACTTCTCTGAATTAGAGCCGTTCAGCTCTTCTTCTTTTACCTATCAAACCTCATTTGGTGCTATAGTTGAATACAATAAGAGTGACAAATGTTTATCAATTGTGCTTACTGTCCTCGACAAGTTGCGATTGTGTCGATTGTTCTCACTTAGACTCTGCATACAGGTAAAAAATTGTCCTGTAATTAGACCATGTATCTAGTTGAAAATTTCTTTTACAAATACTAAGTTGGTACCATTACAAAATAGTTTGCTGGTGCAGTGCAGTAGTTTTCTTCATCACGACTTGATTTGCATCTTCTCTGTCTCAAGTCTCAACGATCGACTTGCTAATCTAAAGAATTTTAATGAAGGATATAGTTAATGTTATAGGCTCTCATGAAGTAAGCGAGAGATGGAGAAGATGCAGGGCAGCAGGGACATCATTATCTGCTCAAACCCGACTAGGCAAGTAGGAGAAACTCTGCAACTGATAATTAAAATTGTAATGAACATCTAGAAAATTTCATGCAACTTCCAGTGAACTTCTAAATCTGTAAAATCTACGACTCATTGCAAAAAATTGATCATATTGTTCTACATTGGTCTTACCCCATAAAGAACAAATAGAGTTTTAAAAAAACCATGGTAGAGAAGAAAAAGGAAAATGAAAACGCAGAAAGGAAAGAAATGGTCAGTATTTTATCGTCTAGTAGCCAAACACAGGAAAAGAAGGCGTTGAGTCTCTTATGGCACCGTGAGAGGGATTTTTAACTGGTAGCAAGCAACTTTTTTTGATTTTTGGACGCACCAAAAACCATATGGAAGGGCAGTTGTTGAAATTTTTATTAAAAGACACTCAGAAATTGGAGAAAGTAATTTCATTTGCCAAGAAGTGAATCACTCATATAATAGTAAATACATGGCTGCGATCTCAAAAGCCTTTTGTTAACCCTATTCTGCAGTATCATCTTGTCGACTCCCAATCACTTCATGCAATCCTTGGTACCGGAATGCCTTCTGAAGGTGGCAAGGTGACAGAGCGCAACAGCTCCAATGAGAATACTAGACCTAGAAAGTGTGCAACGATAGTATTTGCTGATGCCTGTAAAGAGAACACGTAAGACAACAGAAATAAGCAAATTACAATACCAGAGATAGATAACAGGTGGACCAGCTCGAGGGCCATCATGTAGGATAAGTTGATCTCTTAAACTCATTGAAGGCCGCAAATGCATGCGTGCATGACATTAGACTACAGATGCTGGAAACTCGAGAGATGAAAAGCGGGCAACATAGTTGTCCCTCTCCTAGCTTGACCTCGTGCAAGAATTCCATACCTATTATCACTAGTTCTAATCGTGATAGAATAAGGTATCTTGTTTTTCCATAGTAGACATCAAAATGAATGGATAGGAGAGGGAGAGAAAACGGGATATAGAGAGATCACCAAATTTAACCACTTCTTCCCCAGGTATGAAGTGTAAGAGGTTGCTGGTTGCCCCAAAAGACATATTCTAGAAGTACTTGTGTATATTCATTTCTGTATGGACTTTTTAGGTAATAACCACAAAGTAAAGGAGCCCCCCAAACCACTTTTCGACCCCTCATAAAGCAAATCTTTAATGTTCTTTTGGTCTCTCGATTTCAATTACCAGTTCACAAATGAATTATATTTAATACGTAAATGATTGAGGCCAAATGGTGACAGCGGGACAATTTGAAAAGCATACCTGAACCAGAAATACATCCAAAGCAAGCACGGGGCTACTTCCAGGAGTAATACTATATGGATTAGCTGAGGTGGTAAGAGCCTTAGCCACCAACGATCCGACAGTTGCTTGCATGCCAAGTACAGCAGCACCCATTCCCAGAAGGTTCACCACTATTCCATTCTTCAAGCTTTTCACAACGTCAGCACGAGGAGGAGCCTAAAACAAAAGCAGTCAGTACGAAGCTGGACAAATTGCCTTGGATTCAAATTCAAGGTCGAAATTGAAGGTGTATGAACAAGAACTTGCATCGAATATTCCTGGAGTAGCACAGAATGAAACCCTTTTTTTTAAATTGTTGTAGCACAGAATGAAATCTTAACAATAACAAGAGGTCCTCTTTGTGTTAAGTTAAACATAATAGGTTATATAGATACAAGAACCACAAAGATTGCAGAAGAACAGTTAAAAAATGAGATTTAGTAAGTCTCTTTCAACGTTATCAAATCCTGATCCAGAAATTCCACTTCGATCCACAGTCCAAAAGAAAAAAGGAAAAGGAAGGGGACAAAAACTTCTAGAGTCAACTCAAATAAACACAAAACTAGAAATTAAGAACTTAGAGGAAGTAATATCTATGGAAGCACCAAACGTTTCAGAGCACATGAAACGTCCTGTTCATCAATATCCCAGTATGTTTTGTGTATCTGTAAAGGGAAGTTCTGCACCAACTTCAAGGAAGCAAAAGGAAATTTAATGAAAAGCAGTTTCAAAAGCAAACTTAGGAGTATGTGAATCATTAGCTTCTCATACCACCTAACACTTCAAACATAATCTGGCTCACAAATGGTACATTTATTTCAGAAGCAGTTGGAGGGCTGAGGGAGCACTATCTGAGGTGAAATCCATGAAGTAAATACGCCTACCATTAACATAACACAGTTACAAGGCACTTGCATCAATTTAATAAGAATCTATTTCTTTTTCTTTTTGCATATCGATTTGAATGAACGTACAAACATACTGCAATTTAATTTACAAAGCAATTTGAGAAAAGGTGAGGCATTACCTTTGAAGGCTCATTAGCTGTCCTCCGAAGCTTTTCAGACAAGCGAATATAGCCGAATGACCAAAAAACTGAAACGAAAGCCGCTGCAATTCCACCCGCAGTTGAGTAGAATGTGAAGGGAGATGTAATATTCCCCGTAATAACAACAGAAAATGAAAGGATCACCGCAGCAACAAGCGTACATACCAGCTGTCCCCAAAACCCTAGACTACCCAATCTCTTGAAGTACCTTGCAGTATTCTGTAGTCTTTTCGCAACCTAAATTTAAGAGCAAATACCCAATCAATCGGCCTCTTACTCAAACACACAAACACAACAGAATTTAGTAATGCCCTCAATCACAAACTAGTCGTGATTGGCTACATGAATTCTCAGTGTACACTTCGCTTCATTGGGACCAGTTTCATTCTAATACTCAATAATTTTACCTATAAATGCCTTTTTTTCTATGACTGAGAAATCGTCTGGGGCCAACACTTAGGGCCAGCCAACCACAACCTCGAAACTCGGGGATAATGGACTGTCCCTCTACCCTTATCCACTTAAATTCCTATGGCACAGGGCTACTTATAAAGGTGTTCTAGGTATATCTGAATTTTCTACTAACTCAAATAAACGAATCAAGCAAGATAAAATGCAGCACGAATAGTTTGGCACATATTAAAACAACTCAAAATCACAATTAAAAACCCAAACTCATTCTTTCAAAACCTACAATAGATCCAACTAAAGTTATCTTTACTTCACACTCAAGAACGTGCAACAAAGTTCAATGCTCCTTAGCTAAATGCATCTTTAAATGAAAATTTGAGCATTTTGACAAACTTTATTTAGTATTTTCACACACTAAAACAAAACCCTAAAGCAGCAATTGATGCATTAAATTATACCCTTTGACACTTCTGGGAAAAATAAACAATTCAGTTCATAGCTAGACAATCCAAAATACAAACTTAAAGGTAAAATCTTAAAAGTTTGCTACACATTACAAAATGCTGCAGAAACGGAAATGGAGTTAAAGCAGAAATAGGAAAGTACCTGAGCTAATTTAGCTTTTTCAGACTCGTCATTTGGGGAAGTGTAGGGTGGAGAAAGGGGAGCAGAAGCTAATATTCTGGACCGTTTGTTTATGAGACTAAACTGGGGCAAAGAAAGAGGCTTTGTCTTTAAGGGAGATAAAGATAATGATGAGGGCGAAGAAATTAGGGTAATTTGGCGTCCAAGGAAATTATGCCGACATGGTTTTCCGGCCGAGGAAAGAGCTGATGGCGCACTGCCGGTGACGGAGTGAGCCGACGGCAAGAGTAGAGTTTGCATAGCTAGTTTTGTTCGAAGAAGATACAGTAGCTTACACAGCGCAATGTCTAAGCAGGTTCAGTACTGATTTTCATCTTCTTTTCCTTTATTTTGTTTCTTTTCTCCTTTTACCCTTTTAAAGAGAATTACTTATTAAAGTAAAAGGGACCTATAGTGATTTTTTTAAACTTGAATGTAAACTGGAAAAAAAAATGAAAATAGGG